TACGGATGTGTGAGATTCCGTCATTGACAGTTCGACCACTTCCCGTGCACCAATCGAGACGTATGAGGTATCATTCGCCGCGTCTCGGTCACGAAATGTATAATTTGTTTTCACATCCGTCTAGAAGATTTAAATAAGTGATATCGTAGGCTTCCACGTCCAGAGTCTGGGCTGTCAGGGTGTCGCCGCGTCGAAGTCTGAGGTGCTGACGTTTAGACCGAAATATCGCAGTCTCTTCAGGGCTGTACTGCTCAAGAGCTTAAAAACAGTTCGTATCCCGTCTGAAAGTAACACACAATGCCATTGGGTGTATAGAACTTTTGAACAAGAGTATAACAATATCACGTACTACGATTCGTCAACAAAGCAAATTTATATGTAATAGTTATTGCGTGTTACATATAATTTTGCTTTGTTGACGGATTTGTGCTAGAGGGTGGTCATTCTTACAAAATAAATCATACCTGCAATAAATAGAACGAAAGGAAATCGATTGTTGGAATACGCACGTGTAATAGTTGTTTGAAGTGAATTAGCAATATTATATTGCCAAGTGAATTCAAAGGATGAAGAAGAGTTGTATCGCAGGGCCGGATTTAAGTAGTGCGGGGCCCCAAGCACAAAATTGTGTTGCCCCCCCCCCCAAATAGCTCCATCTTTATTAAATAAAATATGTATTATAGTACAAGTACTTTCTGTACAGATACAAATGAAAACTGATAATTTTTATATAAATTTTTAGCTGTTAATTTGAGCATGAAAAATTTTGAGGTTTGCATAAAAAAATTACATATTCAGTTATAAGTAAAGGAAATGAAGTATAGTTAATATTAGACTAATTTAACATGTAATAAATATTTTTTAAATATTTTGAAATTGTACATTTTGTTACACAGTAGACTACTTGATTAACAATTATTTCCCAGGTATTTTCCAATGGTATGCGTATTTTTCCGAAACGCGGGGCCCCTGGTGAATGGGGGCCTCCAAGTACCTGCTTGTTTTGCTTGTAGGTAAATCCGGCCCTGTTGTATCGTCTTCTCAACGACAGTGACGAGGACTTAATTTCAAATAGTAATAGCGATTTGTATTCTCCTAGTAATGAAGAATGTAGTGTTGACGGAGACAATGAAGGCCTCGATAATGTGATCGCTCCTTCGCCATCGCATGAATCTGATAGAGACGATCTCCTGACAAACGTGACTACGGGAAATAGTACAACTGCTTCACATATCGGAAACGACATCTCAGGTACGACATGGCATGTCAGGGGGTAATGTAACCCAACAGTTGTAACAAATTGTTTATAATTCTAATAATGAAGACGAAAGAATAAATCCTGATATTATGGAGACAATGACAGCTGCCCTATAAAATCTATTTTAAGATGAAGATGTCTGAACTTCCTTGTCAGAGAAAAATGACTCAGTAACTTTTTAAACTAACTGAGACAACGGTTCGTTTGTCTAAATGGACCAATATTAACACAGAAGAAATGAAACATTTCTAGAGAATGTCATGTGGTTGTGACTGGTCAGATTACCAATTGTAAGTTCTCATTGGCAGAGAAGTAATCTAATTTATACAAATGCTAATCGAGAAGTAATGCCTCGTAAATAACTTTGAATTACTGCTCATATTTTTTCACTGTGGCTATAATGGAAATGTGATAACAGGAAATCTCCTTTATAAAATACAACACATAATCGATCTTATTTCAAGATTTCATCAAGCTATTACTCTTGAGAGACAAGTGTATTGATGAATCAATGATTCCCATAAAAATAATGTTATTTTTCAAGCAATACATACAAAACAAACGACCTAAATATGGACTAAGATTTTCATGTTACGTATGTACAGGATAATCCCAAACCTGTCAGTACAAAATTTATGCTGGAAAAGAAAAACAAAACTGTGGTAAAAAGTCGCAATGAAAACTATCATGCAGCATGTCATGGTTTGTGAACCGCATATGAATTTTGGAAGAACTCTGACAGTAGACGGCTGTTAAATTAAGCTGTTAACTTGGCGGAGGAATCGGTAAAATCCGGATCTCACTTGCTCGGTACTCTGCGAAATGATAGAAGAATCTCCAAATATGTGGTGGGAAAGAAACAGAAAAAAGGAAAGTCTATGCCCAAGAAAATGATAGAAACATTGTTCTAAAGTGGAGAGACCGACGGTTACCACAAAACATAACGACAAATTAGAGCAAGTGTACCAACGAAAGGGCACTGTCATGAAGCCACACGTTGAGGCTGTCTTCAACTATTGATGCAACAAGAGCACATACTTTCTCGTATAATTGGAAACAGCTACGCAATTTCTGTGCTACTAACGCCTCAGCTGTTGCCTGAACGTCCAATCCAACTAATTCAAACAAAGCATCTGTGATGCATATCCGCATTCATTTCAGTAGTAAAGAGCCGCAGTTATTTCTTTATTTTTGCAAGTGAATCAAACTGGAATAAATTTGACTGTTACTGTATGCGCAGAAAATTATACAAAAGCGAGCAACGCACTATTGCCAGCGCAGCGTTGCCAAAACTACAGTCGAACGATAACTCGAATTTTTGGCATGTCGAAGCAATTTTTCGTTCTCGACCGCGTTAACATATTTTACGAGTGAGTTTGTGTCTTTAACTCAAAATTTGATATCACTAATTTCTCGATAACTCGAAAGAATATCTTCTTCCCCTAAGTGAAAATCATAATTTTAACTTGAAGAAACAGAGAAGGTTTGTTTCGTGTTGTTACGTCTCGAAATTCAAAACCTTCGAGCCATTTCCCATGGAACACTGGCCATCCTACAGACAACAAAATTTTAAATTCCATGATGGTAGCAGAAGAAGACTCGCCAGAGGAAGAAGAAATAGGAGAAGGGTATTATTCTTAACTACCTTCTGCCCCACATGACCTGAAGGAATTAGACTCTTTCCGGCGGTATGTACAGTGTCAGATTTCATTTCGTGAGGACATTTTTAGTGCAGTGAATTTACTACAAAACTTTGCGGAACAAAGACTAATGTAAAATAAAAAACAAAACAAAACAAAAAAAAAAAAGCTGATTTTTTAATCTCTAAATGAATTGAAAACTTCAGCAGTACCAGGTAATAAAAAACAACGTTTAGTACACCCCAGTTGGAACTCTAAGCAATGACTTTTCGATCGCCACAGATATGTCCACTCATATTCAGCATATAACAAGAGTTACCACAAAAGAGCCCATGACTTGTCCGGTCCTTTACATTCATCCAAAAATAATGCTTATAGGCAGTCTTCACAGAGATGTGATTGGGTTTCTGCGAGGAAAATGTTATTTCACTAAAGATGTAACAAAAAATATTCATTAAATTTACACATTTACGGGGGATTTTAATTTAACAAATTACAGACTTCAAAAGCGCTCCACAACCCCAAGTTACATATTAAAGGCGTGAGAGATATTTTAAAAAAATTACATTTATGTAATTTTTGAAAAGACAAACGACGACAGCAAAATTAATTTTGTCACCTTAAACTGTGCAATTAGCACTATCCGTACGGAAAGTTTGAAGAAAAAAAACTTGATCCGTTTTTGGAACTTGAATGAAAGAACTAACTATGGAGAAAAAATTTAATGTAAAGGAAAAATCTCTATCTTCTATCTTGTAGTTGTAGGACGCCGCCGAAAAAATTCAAATTTTGCAGTTATCGAAAATTTAGTCAACTGTGAAAATTTGACCTATGGCATCTTTATAAGTGTATTTTACTCTTATTCTTACAAAAAATTTTGAGTAATTTTTGAAAAAGAATTTTTTCTCTCAACTTTTTGTATGGATAGTGTTAAATGCACTAAATATCATGACATAAACACAATTTTAATGTATTCTTTTGATTATACAAATTTTAAAAAATACACAATGTACTAATTTTTTCAAAATTTATCTGACATTAATATTTACATTTCACATGTTCTTTATACATTATTGCATTTGTGAGTACAAGTGCCTCAATTGTTATCTAATGAAGTTTCTCTAAGTCTAAAACATTTTCTAGGGAACCATGGTGAAAAATGTATTTTCAGGATAATGGAAACATTTTCTCAGAAATGAATTAATTTTTCAATGAAATTTTGCATGTAGAAATAGGTTTTACTCTTGTATGATATTTTTGAAGTCATATTTCCATTTTACTAGTAAGTATCTGAAAATTGAAACAAATGTGAAAATGTGTGATTTTTGGGTAAGTACAATTTTCACAATATAAATAATACATAAAAATTAACTGAACCATTGTATCTTGACGCAAACTGAAAATATTAAGTTCTAATTTTCTGTGAAGTTACTTAATTTTGATGAAATTCATTAGGAAATATATTAAAAGATTTTAAAACTACAATAACTACTTGTTTTGAAAAAACATATCTAGTTAATTTTTAAATTAAAATTTAGAATTCTCAAACAATTTTAAATTTTTTTCAGCTCTTTACCTCCCTTAGACATAATCTTTTGAAAAAATGTATGTCCTTTAGTCCTCATATTTTTTTTTCTTAGCTTGCCTTACTCAAAGATAAAATCGTACTACTGCAAAAGGCAAGTTCGTACAAGAAGAAAACTGTTACAGCAGATTTTCAACAACTTGCACAAACAATGTGTATGGGTCTGAATGCAAAGACAGAATGCATTATGAGAGAAAACAAAAATCCTAACCTGTACAATTGTGTAGACAGGGTCAGAAAGGGCTATGAGCCTTTAAAAAATGTTGTGACCGTTGAGTACCTGAAGAAGTAAAATGCTCAGTTTTTTAAAACGCTGTACCAATAAAACATAAAATCAGAAAAAACATCCAAATTGGTTTGAGTGTATTGCGAATTACCCCAAAGGTCTTTCAACTATTCATAAAATAACTTTGCATTATTGCTGTGGAAAAAAAAAAATGGAGACAAAATCATTCAGTTTTAAAGATTCATTATGTGAGCTGATGGAAAGTCATCAGGTTCAACACCTGCATAAAGCATGAATGGTTTAAGATGTATATGTTGGGTATGGGGCATTACAAGTTCCTTCCCAGTTCTGAACACTGAGATGAAGCCGAGAGAGACCACAGCCATAAATGTAAAAGTTCAAAGTCAAGATACGTCAAAGGAGGCTTTAAGGAATGGGACTATGCTGTTTAGAGAAGCGAAAGGAACAATGAATGACATTGGAAGGCCATTTATCAATATATCACAGTTGGAAGAAGGTACGAGCAAAATAGAAAAGGTAGTCCTGACTGAAGAAAACAGGCCACCAGCTAGTACAAAGACCGCCATTCGGCCATCATTAGTTTTTAAAATATATTTTTAATACAATATAACCATGCTTGTGTATTTCACAAAATAGGAAAGCTTAATAGCAACAGCAACTTAACAGCAAAATAGAAAGCTAATACTTGGTACCATACACTATTTCAGTTTTTATTAGGGATTGTTTGCAACTCTTTGGTTATGTAATTTTAGCTAAATATTATTACGGGTCAGATTTTAATGATACTCTGAAGAGACTTACCAGAATATTGTTTAGCACTAAATTTTGTAGATCCAATTATCCCACCAACAATATCATTAACAGAATATGTAAACTGGCCAACTATTTTTGTAACATTTTAGAAATCTTTGAGCCTAACTCAATAAGCTTTAAAGCTTTCTTAAAAAAGTCTTGTCTGCATCTGACCCATGATATTTTCTTTTACTTGACGTATTATGACTAATTTTTATTTTATCACATTTATTGTCTAATTACTTTGTATCATTATACTATGTATTAATTATTGTTAACGGTTCATACTGTTGAGTAAATAAAAACATGTCTTTTTTTTCTTTTCACTTTACAACAATTCCATTTAGTATAGAAATTAATTTTATGTTCTGACAAAAGCAAATTACCCATTTTTATGTAATTTTTCAAAGATTTCAGTAATAAGTAATTTTTTGCCTTTTTCCGTCATATTTAATGCATTCTTTACAGATTTTATCAATATTAATATAATTTTAATGGTACTTACTTAAAATAATATCTTCAAGATGTAACAAATATTTTCCACAGAATTCTTCTGAGTAACCTATTTGATTTTCCTTGCTTAGAAAGGTCAGCCGTTGTATGTAAACTAAGGTTCCTGTAACACCTATCAGTGCCACTGAATGTAGCTGACTTTGGAATGACTTAAGACAAATTTCTTGGCAAAGAACAACAGCCCAAACCATAAGTTCAAAAGCGACGAGTTCATCAGTCTCAACTATGTCAGTCATGTAATCTACATAATCATTTGTTTATCCAAACTGGTTTTGGTCATATTTTTATATAACTTTTCTTTGCTCTTAGGGCATTTTTCAAACATTTTATTGATCATTTTTGGTGACCACAAAATCAAATCATTGGTCATAAAAATCCACCCTATAGTTATGATTGTGGCAATACCAGAACCTCAAAATTAGAATATACATTATATTTAGCCGTTTATTTGCTTTCTTAATCCTTAAGACTGCCATGTGTATCACATTGATACATTTTTCCTGCCAGACCAGGTCAAATGTTTAATTTTGATGCACATGCTATGGTCTTGTTCGAGGTTATCTGGCAGAATAGTTTTGAAATTAATGGAAGTGGCAGCAAGGGTTAAACCTTAGCAAGGAAGTTTCCCAATGCTTAAAAACCGTCTAACATGGAATAACATTTACATTTAATTTTTTATTGGAACTATTTTAAGGCTTCCAGACATCGTAATAAGCCAATTTAATAATTATGCAAGTACACTTCCATAGCAACAACAATAACTGGAACTTAATATACCTTCTAATTATCATTAATGATCCTCTATTTGTATTTTAGGATAGCCAATTTTTACTATACATAAGAGAAAACAGAAAATATTGCCAAGATCATAATGCCAATCAGTACAGTAAATTTGAATCAAGAAACTTCTTTACATGCAAGAGAAAGATTTTTTAATTAATTCTCTAAATGCCTAATTGCAATTGGCGTCAAATCATCAACATGGACAAATCTGGAAGTAGTATCAATGTAACGACAGACTTCAGTAACACATTGCAACTTTTCTCTGGAAACAATAGAAAAAGTACTGTAATAACGCTTAGTTTTATAAAAACTTTATTACCACATAAAAAAGTGCTGTACAACAGTTATACTTATAAGAAGCAATTTGTAATACAAGTTAAGAAGCAATAATTTATGTCACCCAAACCTTACAACTATATTTAACTTGTATTCACATATAAAAGGCACCTGGCAGTAACAGGATTCACGTCCACAAATGCTCTGCTGTCCTTCATGCCAAGTGTTTATAAACACACTTAATTTACAAAAGAAAAAGCTTTCTACAATAACCTTTAAAAAAACAAACTCGCAGCACACCAAAGCAGCCAAGCAAAAAGTATCATTTATAAAAAAAGATAAACATTCTTAGTGAATCAATTGTTTATCTTTTTCCATCTTTCACATCACTTCATTCGCTCATTGCAATAACAGTTTTGCTACCCTGTACAGTTTCAGACTTCTCTACAATAGACTCTGTCTTAGCAGCTTTTACACGAGTTGTTGTAGCAGGCTTCTTTGGAGGAATTCTGCTGGGCATAGAAGTGGTGGTAGTCTTTATCATACCAGAAGGTTTCATTGCAGGTCCTTTCCCATTTGTTATTACTTTGCTTTCAATTTTTCGTGATGCACTTGTTACACTAGATTTGGAAGCTGTTGTGGTTGTAGTGCTGCGGACTGTTGAAGTTGTAGTACGAGTTGATATCTGCTTATTAGCGGTTTCCTTTATTTCTTTCTCATTTGAAGCTTTGGCCACTGATCTGACGGTTGATACAGAAGTCAAAGGTTTTGGTTTACTCGGACCATTGAGTGGAGACTTCGTCTTTGCAACTGTGGAAGTCACTGAAGAAACAGTTTTTGAAACCGTTCGTGTTGCTGGTGCAGTTGCTGGCCTTAATGTTGTTTTGGTTGTAGTCATAGTTTTAGATGTTAATTGTTCAGGGCGTTTGGATGCCTTAACGTCTCCATTTGTGATCGGCTTTTTCTCAGAAGGAGATGAAGTTGGCCTATTCTTTGCCAGTCCAACAGCAGGCACGGATTTTGATGCAGCCAGACCTACTGGTTTTGGCTTAGTGGCTGCAGTTGTAGCAGGACGGGTAGAAGTACTTGATAGAGGTCTTGAAGTAGTTTTAGGGACAGAAGGCTTCGACAATGGTTTGGGAGCAGTAGTGCTAGCAGTAGTTAGGGGCTTTGCAGGAGCAGTCTTTTGAGTGGAAGGAGGTTTTACAGGAGAGGTAGGTGATTTGGGTTTGGCAGCAGTTGTAGATAATCGAGAAGAAACTGCTGACTTTGTAGCAGTCTTCGGTTTTTCTGGGCCAGGCTTCTTGTCTTTCACAGAACCAATAGTAGGCTTTTTAGTAGGCACATCCTTCTCTTTCTTCGAGTCTTTATTGTCAAATGCAGAAATAGCAGTTGTAGCTGTTGCAGCTGCAGCAGCCACCGCTGCAGTGGCTACCAATACTCCTTCAGTTGAGACAGCAGGAGTATCAGGAACAGCATTCTCTGAAACACCACTATCAGCCAGATTGGTGTCATTTACCGACTCAGGAGCTATTTTCTCTGCCTCTCCTACATTTTCAGATGCAGAATGTAAACTGGCAGAGGTTTCTGGAAGGTTTTCTATAATCTGCTTATCCATAAGGACCTCCCTTGACATTTCCGATTCAATGATTCTCTCTTCTGCATCTTTACTCCCAGACTGTTGACTCTCTGATAGTTTCTCAACAATTTCTGTAAAGTTTTCAGTTCCATTACCAAAATTTAAGGGTTCTCTCTCAGCAAGGTCTGTTATTAATGGAGTCGGGGGTGGTGCTTGAGTAGATTCTAACAATTCATTGTGGACGAATTCTGGTTGCATTACTTCATGGGTTGGAATGTGCACAGATTTATCATCTTGAGCCAGAGAAGACTCAATGAAAGCATAGTCTTTTGATACAGTCTCTGTTTCAATTTCTAGTGGAGAGACAGAGTTTGCAGTATTGGTCTCTAAAGAAGCAGCAGGGGGAATATCTACTCCAGGAACACTTTCAGTAATTTGGTTAGATTCAATTTGAATCAAATTATCAAGAATACCAGAATCCTGTGGAACATTTTGAGACACATTTTCAGTCAAACAGGAATCAAACAAATCTGAGGTTGGGGCATTCATTGGTCCATTAGTGAACTCCAATACATTCTCCATTAAATTATTCTCCGATGGGACAGATTCAGCACAAGCATCGTCCAATAATGCCACCTTATCAGGATGGGCACATTCAAGCAGCACATCAGAGGTGTTGCACAAATTCTCCTCCTCAACAGAAGAGAAATCTACAGGAATGTTTTCTTTGGTTGAATTAAATTTATCTTGATATTGCTCTGAAGCCTCAAGATCTTTCTCAAGCTTTTCATATTCTGGAGTAGATATTTCATTGCTTAACTGATTAACTATTTCTTGCTGCACAGGTAATTCATCTGTTAGTTCACTTAAAGGAGATTCCGATAGCTGTGATGATGCTTCCACCTGGACTTCAAGCCCTGGAAAATCTTTTTGAAGAAGGGCTGCTGGTGTGTTTGTAGATCCTTCAAATTCTATCTTCTCTTTTGTTTGAGAGAATTCCAAAAGGTTATCTGTAGGAGGTTGCTTGGATTCTGCTCCCGCAAGAAAATCAACATCATCTCTGAGAAAATCTGCAGCACCTATCTTATCTTCAATATTAGTTCCAATATTGTCTCCCATGTTGCCTAATATATCCACATTCTGTGATGTATGATTTGAGACTGATGTGAAATCTTCCAATACTGGAGCATTATTGACCGGTTCTTCCTCGTGCACCAAATCCAAATTATCTACAAAATTATTTTCAGTCACAGAATTAACATTAGGCATCTCTGGTTCCGTATCTAATGTTGGGCTCTGATCATCACTGTCCACTTTAACACGTTCAGGTTCAGACTCCATTTGTGGGGCAATTTCCTTTTGCAGTTCAAAAGAAATATGGACAGGTTCCTTCTGAAAATCACTAATGAGATCTTGCTGTGGAACAGATTCTTTTTCTATTACTGAAGATTCTGTGGTATCCTCCAAGACATTTCCACTTATTTGTTCATCAGAAGCAAGAAAATCTTGTCCCATCAATGAAGTTTCCATAATGTTGCTTGATGTATCCAATATCTTCTGAAAATCTGCACTACTGGATACCGATTCATCACCAAATTCTGCTTTAGTAGAGAAGGCTGTAGATTCATTGAGATCACTACCAAGTTCTTTCTTAAATTCACCTTCAACAAATGAATCAATATTTAATGGATTCACAAATTCTTCTTGCTGAGAGGTTGATAATTCCTGTTTGTCTAGTTCTTGCTCTTGAGTTAACAACAACTCTGATGTATTTACACTAGAAATTGTTTCATTACAAGATTCTTCAACAGTTTGAGCTTTTGTCAAAATTTCTTCCATGGATGGCATGTTGTGAGTTGGTGACGGTATGAATTCAGCAGCATTAGGATTTAACTGAGATTCCATGTTGTCGTCTTCTTCTCCACCACTCTTTTGTGTCTGTTCTTTGCAAACCTAAAACAAATTGTAGATGAATTAAAATTTGCACGTTAGTTTTAAATCTGCATTATAAATTATCATCATAGATACTCACTTCTGGTTTTGTTTGCTGCTCTTTTTCAGGACACTCCTCAGACTTTTCTTTGGGATCCGCTCTATAATAATTCCACTCGTCTTCTGATTCTTCACCACTCTCAGCTACATTATCCGATACCAATCCCAGCACTCCAGGCACTGAAACCAAGAAAAATAAAAAATATTTCTATAAGCAATGCAAGGACTCACGAGGACGGATAGAAACCTTCTGAAAAGCAAGGCATGATATCGGGAAACTACTAAACACGAGCGTAAATTAAACCATATTAAGCACCAGGATACGACAAGGGGGCAAATATTCTCAGTTTCATTCATTAAACGACCATCATCTCTCAAAGGGGGCGGAATACTTTACATGTTCGAAGACTCATGATGACCCGCGCCGCTGTCCTCTGCCACGCCCTAACAGGCAACCCAGAGAACACTCCCCTTTTGCTCCACAATCAATATGAACAACCCCTCCACCGCCCCCGCAGCGCCCAACAGGTGGAGGCCACGATGCACCCACGCGCCCACCCCCGCAAAGGGACACCCCCTGCACCGCCCTCCATGCTTATTACGGAAAACCTTTTCCCGGGAAATTTAACCTTTCGGAGCCACATCGTCGCTCCCTGTGAGGCTATTTATTTCCATTTAAAAATATCTAGGATACGACACAAAATACTCCTAAAATAGAACATAGAAATGCGTTCCGACAAATGATTGATTTCCCCGATAACTGCAAAATTGAGCGATTTTCGATAATAAATGTTTGCATATTCACAATTGACAAAGCTGTAGGACACCCTAATCACTTGTGCGACTGTTTCAACATGCCAGTGCACTTCAAACTTACGTCACCGAAAATGAACTGTATCATAAGTCACCTTGATGTAAAGTCGGCTTCTGGGCCACGGTCCTTCAACAACACTTTTTTCAACAATATTACTCTCCGAAACTGTCTCGCGAATGCATTCCACTAGCTCAACACATCCACACACGGCGCGCACACGCCAGCCGGCGGGCTACGGTAAAGCCCTGTGCACTGCCTCCCGCTGCCTAGCCTACTGGCTGTCGTTCCACGAATGCATCCGCCGCACGAGCTTTCACAACTTGCCACTAGGCAGAGCTGCAAGCACAATCGATTGTCCTCTAGCTACGAGACACTTTTACCCTTATGCATCCACGTTGTCGTGACACGCGACTTGCAAGTTTCCAACAAACCAAATTAACATAGACGTGTGCAATCATTAGGGAGCAACTACAATTTTAGCGTACATTATTTAAATTTTATATTTGAAAGTAAAATATTAAAATATAGTAAGAAATTACAACCATATCAAATATTTGTTTTTTACTAATTATTATTATTATTATTATTATTATTATTATTATTATTATTATTATTATTATTATTATTATTATTAGTGTATTTCGTACTATAATTTTATCATTGATAAGGTTGTCAGATGGCTTCCTCAAATATTTTTTCTAAATTGTCGGGAGAAAAAAAATCATTGAATACACATATTAAAGGAGATAATAATAACATCATCAAAGGCTTCAGAAACCCATTCAAAATACCCGGGGGGAGGGGGGCAGACCTATCCTCTTCTAAGAGCGCATGCCAATTAAACGTCTAGAATTTTTTTTAAAACGGCCCAGTAAACGCTACAAATTTTTATTTTGTAAAATGACCCTTATCAATCATATCAAATAAGGTGTTTTCCCGAAGAGTATGTACTTTCCTATTAAGATTTTAGATGACAAAACTTAATTATGCGCGAGCCTCTCTGAAAGTTATTTCCATGAACAAGAACGGTGTCACGGATGATTCAAGAAATTCCAAGCAAATTCAATATTGGTCTCACTACGGAGTTTGTGCACCCTCGAACGTTAAATCACTATCGATCATATGCACATGCACAGTTCAAGTTTGGCCGCACTGGTGCATCTGCGCATGAGCAGATGGATAGTGCTATCCGCTATGGCGTGCACAAACTCCCTATTGACGAGAGTTATTATATAAGGAGTTTGTGCACACTAATGTTAAAGCACTATGTATCTTCTGCGCATGCATAGATGCACATAAATAATGCGAAACGAACTGCGCATGCGCAGACAGATCCGAAGAAAGAAAACTCCTACTAAAATGTGAACTTGGGAACAGAACAGGGAATACTTAAGATTCCAAGGAGGACGGGGGCGGGCGGGCGGCTCACCTTCGTCTGCTGGCGGCGTGGGCGTGTCGTGGCGGGGCTCGTTTTCGGGATCGAAGTCGCTCGTCTGCTGCCGCTGCAGCTCCAGCTCCTCGCCGAACGGGTTGGCGCTCCTCGCGGGCGGCAGGGGGGCGTGCGTGGCGTCGGCGCCGTCCACGGCCTCGGGGCCGGAGTCTTCGTCGTCATCGTCGTCGTCCTCCACGTCCTTGTGGTCGCCGGACGCCTTGCCGTTGCGCGCGATGTCCATGAAGTCGAAGAGGTTGCCGTTGGTGTGGCCGTTGTTGAAAGGCGGCGCCTGGAAGGGGTCGTCGAGCAGCAGGCCGGCGCCGGCCGCAGACACGGCCGCGGCCGCTGCGGCCTTCTGCGTCGCCATCTCCACCTCGAAGGGGTTGGTGGCGGCGGGGAGCGCGTCGGTGGCCGGCGCCGTGAGAGGCGGAGGCGGCGGGGCCGCGCTGCCAAGATCCATGTCGAAGGCCTCCATCTGCGGCGCGGAGGGCTGCTGAGGGCCGTTAGTGGGCGCCCAGGCACGCGGCACGGTCTGCTCGCGGGCGCGCGCTGCCAGCTGACACGGGTCCGTCAGGAAGGCGACGATCACGCTGATGTTGTCGGTGGAGCCCTGCTGCTTCGAGAGCTGCACCAACTTCTGGCTCACTGCCTCGATATCGCCTGCAACAGAAACACGTTCGTTACTTCTTGACAGACTAGCATAAGGAGGGGGGGGGACTTAGCAACCGATAACGAATTTTCGCAAAATGTTTCGTTCTAAAATAGCAAGGAGATGAATCCATGGCGGGAGCATGCTGTCGACGAAACCACTCTAACGGCAAAGAGTATCTTTGTGAGTTTTTTGGTTTATAAAAGTAATTTTTGTTTCAAACAAACACTCGTGAGAATTTATATATCAATAAGTCGCAGCAAGCCTGTGGGCTAAATAGTCCTATCCAGGATCTCTCAAATCTATGTTCATGTATTCCACCGACCATTTCCCTCCTAGGGCCGTTTATGTTAGTGCAGCCATTATGCTAGTACGACAACAATTCAGTAACGAATTTTATTTATCAATACGCGCTAGAAAACATGCAAATATGTCAACGTTCTACGTTGTGGAAGAGTATTAAGCTGGGGCGGGGCGGGGCTTGCACTCTTAGCGAGCGAGTAGCGGCGGCTGACGTCAGCGGCCGTGAGTCACGCCACGCATCTGGCCACCGCGGGTGCCTCTTTCCCCCATTCAATACATGCCTGGCCACCACACGCGACTAACGAGGGACTCGAGTTGCAGGCTCCAGCCAGGTCCTCAAATATTTTAAGACACGTTTTATAATATAGTGTCCCTCCGAAACCGGAAGAACCGATTGGCTTCTGGAATCCCAGACTTGACATTGCGCATCTGCGCGTTCGTTGATTTTTTCCCCTCAAAAGGAAGCGTGGCAATTGGAAAGGTACGAAAAAAGACTGCACCATGCTCATTTGACATTTGAAAGAGACATTCTATCATGTGTTAACACTCCAAATCAGCCTATTCAACGCATTGCCATCTCCTTTTAAAAACACGATCTGAATTTCCATTTCTAATTTTAATTATAACAATTTTAATTAAAAATAATTTAAATAAATTACAATTTTAAATATATTTAACCAAAATTATTCGAAGTACGTATTCAAAAAACTTGTGTGTTCCACCTAATCAAACATTAGAAACTTAACTAAATAATTAAAAACGATTCGCTCCTAAGCAATTATAATCAATTAATCAGAGCCCAATATTCAATCAATTAATTAAATTATTCTAATTAATCTATTAATCTTGAGAATCACCGGGTCCAAGGCAACGCAAAGACCGTTCGCTCAAAAACTACCGCTCGAGGCGACCTCGCTGTTTTCATTTTTAGGAACGATTACAACGTTAACAGTTTTGAGCTATGACACAGCAAAAGCAAATGTCTCAAAAATTGTAATTTGAGTATAGCAATGGCACACATTTTATAAAATAATTTTGTTTCACTAGCAATTGTTTAAATTTAAAAAAGGAACTACTTTCAAAAACATCAAAAGAACTGAAGTCACTTTACGTCTTGTTAATGGTGTATGAAATAATTGCTAGTTTATTGATCCATTTCAAATTGGAATCTTGGCAGATTAAACCGCGCAATGACGAAAATGGAGAGTATTTACGACCGGTAATTTTAGCTGAATAGTTGCGAAGAAACCATGAGCCCGTGGAGTATTCTTTATTGAATTCCAGCATTTCCGTTATGGAACAAGGGAATATGTACCTTCCGAATACAACATAATCCAGGTTTTTAATCTGCCTTCGACGCAGTTGAAGGCACTGAGCTACGAGCTCTACCGCCACCAAATTCATCCAAATCCCTCTCACATCTTGTGAAATGGGGAAAGATTATCACTGTGGGCCACGGCCGTCCTGCAAGGGTTCGATGCGGAAACGCTCTTCTCCATCGGCGCCCGTTCGGTGCGGCGGGGGCAGGCGTTGAACGTGCGTGTGCGGGGCGGGGCGCGGTCCAGGTGAACGGCACCTGCGGAAGCGAGCGACGACCCCGCCCGCCCGCGCGGGCGCTGCCCGTTCCGCTGCGCACCGGCGCTCGCCCGAGGAGCGGAGGCGCCTCGCGGGCACAACGCGGGTAAACAGGAGGCGCACGCGCCACTGCCACGGATTGCCACCACGTCCTCTACCCACAGCATCGGGCATGCCTTCGGTTTATAACAGGGCTGTCCACCTGGCGGCCCGCGAAACGTCCCTTGCGAGAACATTGCGCGCGCCCTGCCAGGATCAACACCCTCTTTAATGTAAAAATGGCTCAAGTTTATATCTAAAGACTTTTTTTGGTAAATCCAGAATATCAAAAATCATCCCAACGTGTTCCACAGCGTTGTGGTACGTCCTTATATCACGTATGGTTTCATACTCCTCTTTTGAGAAGCCTGGCAAACTGCCGGAATCAAAAATACGGGGTCACGTGTGGACAGTGAGAGTAATGAAAATAAGGCCCATAACCATATTAAAAGTTATAATGTTGACTCTTGAAACCTTTGAAGTTGGACACCCCTGGTCCTCAGCCCTAGACAGCAGTCAGAACTCTTTTACCGATCCGTCTTCCTTAGGTCGATATTCCGTAAAGAAATTACACAGTAAAACTGACAAGGAGCGGAGTATCTTTTGGATTTAATGCTTCAACCGTTGGATTTGTCATTTTTTCCCCCTGAAGGTATTTGAGCTAGCCGAGATTCATCAGTGCTTTGTTTTAGTGTAAAACATTCTTTCCCTTTCGTTTTAAACTAGTTCTGTTAAATTAACATTTTAAATCATGTTTTTAATACATTCGATGGATATTAAATTTTCAAGTGAGCAAGGTCTCTGGAACGTTATTGCGTCAATTATTGGAAGATGAACTCTCCAAAACTGCCGCATTGCTTCGTTGACCACTACGATTCGTCTCGCTATGCCATTGCACCTCTCTTCACTTCGCTTACGCAGGCGTCAGCACGTACAATGATTGAAGACCACCACCCATTCACACACACCTTTTGGCGATGTGGGTTTCTAACGTCTTCCGAGAAAACGTGTTTTACGGTTCGAATAATATATTTAAACTCTGAAGAATCCGTAGCTCTGCAGATTGGAATACGAGACAAGACCAACGCACTCACAATGATTTCCATTGGCAAGTTATGTACTTTCATCATTATTTTGCGTTTCCGGGGCGCGACAATTGCTAGTGTCATTAGGCCCGTACATGAAGTCACGGGAGGCGTGTGCGCGTTCATCCGCTAGAGCGTGCGATTAGCGCCGAATTATGAATGTCGCCGTGCGGGGAAGGAACCGTTCAGGCAGGGATCTCCGCAGGAGCACAGACGCAGACGGACACGTTCTAAACGCCTTCCATTGATCTGGCGACATGTGTGGGAAAGTTATAAACCTGCGAGTACGTGCGTGCGCGTGCCTGCCCGCTGGAGACGAGAGGAGGGGCCGGGGTCGCGCGATCCCTGCTCCGTCTGTTACAGTTCTGCTCGGGTAGTTCACAGGTGTTTATCAGAGAAATACGGAAAACCAGTAAAAGTAGCCGGTCGTTTGAATTTTCCTCCAGACAGCAGCTGATTTCGATCTAGCCCTTCATTTAGTGTCACAAATCCGCCGACTGTTACCACAAACCCTAGGACCTTCCAGCCAGACACTGCAGGTGCAACACTCATAAGCTAGTACCTCGACCGATCAGGCTAAACATACGTGTTCATTGGAGGCTGCAAACCATTTAAGTTTATTATTTAAATTAAAATTTTTTAACAGTTTGAGAATGCAATTCAAAAAACATTTACGCATTCGATTTGGGGCCCGGGCCAGCGGCCGGCCCTGCCTCCCCCCCTCAGACACATTTAATCGTCAAAGCCAACAAGCTTACCCTCACGACCATAAGGTTCTCCATATTATTTCTTACAATAGCATAGTCAACAGGAAACATTTTATCTTTAAATATATTCACCATTGTAAAGCGAGAAGCACTTTCTTGCCAGCTTATCGGTCTGGCCCCATCCTCCTACAGGCAATCTTTCGTCGTCTAAAGAACATTTTTTTTAATTTTCGCAATTTTTCGCTTTCCTTATGGTAGAACCGAATTATTATTTTGAGAATATTAAAGAAAGGTAGAACTTCGTACAATGGAAATTTTCATTTAAAAATTTGGAGCCAATTACAGAAAATGTCTGAAGCGTTACTGTAAATGAAAAACTTAAAGTTCTTTTACTTTTCCGAGAAACTTCATTAGAAGTCATTTGAAACACAAACTCGCAAACAACAATTTAGACGAATCGCTGAAAAATTGAAGATTGAAGGTGCGATGATATTAAAAAAAAAAATTATATTTACCTAATTTTTGATAAAACAAAATTACACACCACAATGACTTTTCTGTCATCTTAAGTAGTGCATTTAGAACCTTTAAAAATACTTCGAAAAAGCGTTGGAGCGTTTTTGAAAATGTGGAAATTTGAGCTCATTTTCACAGAAAACGATTGAGTTTTCGAGAAACTTAATACGATATCATTTGAAGCACGTGTTCTCTCAAAATCCAATAACGTGAACTAATCACTGCTAGTGTAAATGTTAACATGAGAGGTCAAAACTGTAATTTTGGAAAAAAACAAAAGAAACAGAGCGAACTTGCGTTTAAGTCATCTTATAAAATACATTTAGCAGTATCCCTACAAAAATTGAAAGCCATTTCAGAAATTTGTTATTTTTAATATTCTACACTTCTCGCGCAAAATTGTGCGAAAACTAATAAAATTAAAAAAAAAAAATTCACATGATATTAATCAAGGAAAAATCTCTATCGTCATTGTAGGAGGACACCAAAAAAAGATTCAAACTTTTGAAATTCTAGAAAGTTAACTGTTAACATTGAAGAACGAACCTAATGCCGTATTTAGAAGTGTGTTTTACTCAATACTAATAAAAAAAAACGAAAAAATTTGGAGCAATTTTTCAGAAAAGTTTTAAAAACGTACCGGGGGCTTCATGAAAAGTATTTCCAAATTTTAAAGAATGTTCTTCAAAATCAAAAATCTTCGAGTCTATCGAGATCGGCCGAGGAATATCCATTTGGGAAAAAATCCTAAGTATGGTTTAAGCACAAGGTATTCACAGACGGACGAACGTTTTGGAAATAAAGAAAAACCAACTATGTTTTCGGTATCACCAAAACTTGAATTTCCCTTGAAATATCGAAATCAATTTTCTTCCACATTACATGACACTTACGATGGGAACATTCTTATCACATTATTAACAAGTTTCTTAAATATCGCTGTACAAGTACCCTGGACACAGAAATATGTTAATATACATGGAAAAATTACACAAAACAGCCGTTTTCCCGATGATCAGATGGGTGTGTGTGTGTGTGAGTTTGGTGCGACCTATTCTGCATCTAACATGGTCAGCTCTGCAGAAGGATATGGCTAGATTATAATCTTCGTATTCACATATACTTCTTAATTTGCAGCGGGCGTTGTTCCATTTATGTCTGTCCAATTCTTGTAGTTTTCTCTTGATGCTGGCGGGATAGTCCTGTGGTATTGTAGGAAAATTGCTTCATTCATCAAGTTGTGACACCTATGAGGTCTGCCTGCCAACTCCTCCTCTATGATACCCACAGGAGCCGGGATCCATCGAAAAATTATTTTTTTACCTTTAATGTTAAGAGTTCCTTATCATACTAACAATATCTAAAGCTAGCGGATTTCCAAAGTAAAAGGCATTTCGAATAGCCGACAAAGTCGATTTGGAGACAAGTTTCTATTAGAAAATTGCGTTCACCGTCTTCGAGAATATAGTCTAGTGCGGTGATTGCGTATAACACGCTGAACAAAACTCTGTACTTGTCGGGCAGTTTGCTTGAAATTACTATTGTTGGCGCTACAGTAGCACATCCAAGCAAGTTTCTACTCTTCGAGCCATCTGTGTATACTTTGTTGTAGTTCTGATATTAGGAAATTTCTTCTATTCCGACTTATCACTTGATTGTAAGTTTAACACACACACACACACAAAATCTGATTGTCTTTTTCATAAAGCAAAGGAACTGAAATGAGAAAGTAATGCTAAATAAAATCCTAATACAAATACGACAATCAGATGTTTCCATTTCCCTCCCAAGAAAGCTTACAAATTAACCAAATTTTAGCAATTTTGTTTTAATGTTTTTGATGCTAATTATTTTAATCTCATGTAACCAAGCTTGAAATAATTTATCCCGTGAATTAACAGCGCCTCGATATGAGTTACCTCCGGAAGAACCGCACGTAAAATCCAACGCCAATATTTTGTATTTTCCTATAAAGCTGTCAATATACCTTCTGTCTTCCGTAGAAAAGCGGGTATTTAATATCGTTCATACTGCAACTCCACTTTTTTTTCCACCAATGAAATTTTAAAATATTTGTTAATGCCAAATAAAATGTCAAGCAAAAATCTCTAAAAAAGGATATATTTATATAATATTAAAACAGTTTTGAATTAAGGACCAAAACTACGCCATTAGTGTGCCTGGCAGAAGAAGCTTTCCGTTTGCTGCGCTAGCCTTCTGCGTAAATTCCAAACTTAATTACTGGATTGTGAGTAGAATCTTTCCCTTTCCCTAAAATCTGCAATTCCTTTATCTTCGACCCTCCAGTCCACCGAAGAGTGGAAAGCCGCGGAGGCGGGGGGCGGGGGGC